TTTTCACACTAGTTTTAAAACTTAGTAGTTTGTTGTTTTGTCTTTTTTTTTTTTTATTTTCCCTTTCATGATTTTTTAGTTGTAAGAAATATTGATTATAAGCAAAAGGAGTATATTTAGGAAGGAGAAAGAAAAAAAAAAAAAAAAGAGCTTTTAGTGCGCTCACTAAGCTCTGTTTTTTTTTTTTTTTTTTTTTTTTTTTTGTGAAGAATATTTTTCCGTCTTTTTTATGTTTGGCACACCCAGAAAAATAAATAGACGAAAAAAGTTTTCTTGGCCAAAGGAAAACTAAGCTATTTTTGAGGAAAATGACTTCTCATTTGCAAAAGAGGAAGTTATTTTCCAAATATTGGCAAACTAATTATGATGACTAAATATCATATAAACATATGCTATCTACTATCCATCGGCCAATCATCCATCGTTAATCACCATTGACCACTACTAACCACCTCGATTGCCAATGACCACTAGAAATTCTCATTTTTTATATTTTTTTGGTCATAATAATAAATTAAATGAAATATTAAATTTTTTTAAATTAAAATATTTTTACAGCATAAATTAAAATATATGTAGAGTATAAATAAAAAATATTAATATTTCCAACAAATTTTCAATATTGCATCCAATCAGTAGAAAAAAATAAGTTCTTTGGAAAATATTTTCTTAGACACAATAACATCAACAACAACAAAAATATATTCCTAGAAAATAAGAAAAAAAAAAAGAGCCTAAGTATACAAATTATATTCAGAAGGTCCAATACAGTTGTACATCCAACTGTTTGGAATGAATTTGGCCAATATTTGGCCATAATGATTTTATTGTTGCAAATATCAAAGTTCAGTAATTTTTAAGATACAAATAGGATCTAGCAGCAAGTTCAGTGATTGTGGTGAAATTTTCACTCCTTGACAAGCTTTGTAGAGATGTGAGAATATTTGATGCAGTTGGTTGACTCTTAAGACTGATGAATTTATACAGGCACTTCCCCAACGGAATGAAGCGCTCATAGTATCCCCTTGGCCTCAGATTTCACTTCCACGGAATGCCAGCTCAATAAAAAAATTTGAAAATTTCCAGGCACTGGTGAGTTCACAGTTGTTCTTTTTTCCTTCTGACAACTCTACAGCCCACATTCAACTGAATATTTTGTGATTTTTGCTTGTTTTCTCTTATTTTTTTTAACAAATAAATGAATCCTGTTAGACTAGAGCAATCCGAAATGCTCGAGCTGAATACTCTGTTGAGCCTGCCAAACGAATATCTGCATCTATAGTCGCAAGTGAAGAAGTCATACAGTATATATCTGTAAGTTTGTTCATTTGATTGTCTTATTAGCAAATATTTAAGGTTTAACTAGAAATTTAAGCTGACTATCTATCATAAGTGTAAATGCATTTTCTTGATCAGCGATGTATGTTGAACAGTTGAGGAAATGCTGTGCCCAAACAATTATTCTTCAACATGAAGAACCATTAAATCTTAAAGCAAGACTCAAATAATCGCAGTGCCAGCTGACTATAGACATCAGGACAAACAATACCATCTCTTCCTTCCCATAAAATATGTAATTTGCAATTTGTTAATCAATCTTTAATTGATCTGAGGTTAATTTAGCCCAAGCTCAACCCAAATTTTAGCCCAAGTTCTTTACGATACTCAATCCAGTCTCTGAGCTCACCAGCCAAGATTTTTCAGGCCAAACAAATCAAGTTTTGGGTTGGCTCAACCCTGGTAGCAGTCTCTAAAAGAACATGCTGGGAATGAAAACATGCATTTGATAGTACATCATTTTGCCTTGGTCACCTTTCATGTCATCCTGCAATCTTTCCTTCTAATTTTCCGTTTCTTTTACCAAGCACTGTTCTGTTCAATGCCAATGTTTCTGGTACATGCAAACTCACAGTGAATAATGCTAGCATGTAGTAGAGTTGTTATTTATTTATTTATATTTATTACTAAGCTATTTTCAGCATTTATGACTTCGTAAGTTAAAAAAAAAAAAATAGAACCTATTGCCTTAACTGATTACTCCAATGTTTATACTGCTTCATGCAGATGTTAAGGCAAGTATTATCAACAGCATGCCAGTTTGTTGAATTTGTATATGTGCATGTGATTTTAAGATTTTACCTTTGTCGATGCAGAAGGAGAAGGAAGTCTTGGCTCTTCTATCCAGGCTAGATCTACAAAATGTTCACTTCACAGACTCCCTTCCGAGTACGTTTGCTTAAATCATTTGCCTTTAATTTTGTTTTTTTTTTTTTTATGGTTTTTTATTTCCTTGGGACATGGTCTATAGAAGTACTTCTATGTTCTTTTGACCTTTGCTGGCTGCTTTTTATTACTTGTCTTTTGTTTGTGAGCTGTCAAATCTAATTGTCCTCACACTTCAGGAGATGCCAACCAATCAGTACACCTTGTTGCCAGTGAGGGACTAGAGGCATATCTTCCTCTTGCTGATATGGTTGATATATCAGCTGAAGTTGACCGCCTCTCAAAGAGGCTTTCCAAGATGCAAACAGAGTATGAAGCGCTGGCAGCTCGCCTCAATTCTCCAAGTGTATGAGCCTCATTTTACTCCTAAATGTGCCTACTTTTTTTTTTTTTTTTTTTTTTCCAAGTGTATGAGGGCCTCATTTTAACTCCTAAATGTGCTACTTTTTTTTTTTTTTTTTTTACGAAAAGTATTTTTTCATTTTTTTTTTTTTTTTTTTCGATAAAGTATTTTTCATGTACACCAACTCCAAATGTTGGTAAAGTTTTGGGAATATTTTATTCTGATATACCAAAAAAAATTTTAAAAGAAGTTTTTAGGGGTATGATTTACATGAAATTTAATTTCATTATATACATCGACAGACCTGTTAGTTAGCCAGTTAAAGTTAGCCTGTAGGGGGTGTTAACTGAATCTTTAACTAACAGTTGACCTGGATATGTGGGTGCATAGATGCACCACATGGGCTCTCATAGGGTAAAATAAGGACCAAAATATGAGCTTGCTGCATTTGTAGATGTGAAAGCTCCAGAAAAGCCTTATTAATATGTGCTGTTGAGGATCTTTTCTTTCATCATTTGAGTAATCTGATGGGAAAAAGTGGATCTCTTGGTGATCCCCTTATCCAATTCTAGCCCATCATGATATTGCATTTTTGAAGCCACATCTCTTTCTCAGAATGGGTTACTGTTTGGCTACCAAGTCTTTTCATATAGGTTTTGCATGGTCCAGCATCAAACTTTTTGGTCGTGAATGAAATTAGCAGTTTCCTACACACTGTTACATGTTATGGCTGATTTATGCACTTGTATAATTTGTTCACAATCTCTGTCCCTCTGCAGTTTGTGGAGAAAGCTCCTGAGAATGTTGTTCGTGGAGTTCGAGAAAAAGCAGCAGAAGCGGAAGAGAAGATAAATCTCACAAAGAACCGTTTGGCTTTCCTCAAGTCCTCAATTTTGGTATCTCAATAGAGTTTATCGGTTCAGTTTTGCAATTGGTTTGCAAAATCCCCATTGAAACAAATTTCGTTTATCTCATTGCAAGATCCGTATTCCATTTAATGCGAAAAGTGACTAATATCCACATGTTCTCCTGTATTATGATGGGATCTTGCTGGCTACTAATGACCATTTGGACAGAAGATGAGAGAGCAACGCAGTACAAATATGATGAACTGTTTGCCTTGCTTAATGGAAGAGTTGTAGCAGTAGCACTAGGGAAATTTCTTGTTGGAGTCTGAACGGACAGTCCATGGCTTGTTACTGAGCAGCAGCATTTCTTGTTATTTTGGGCTGCTTTTTTTTATGATGCGATGCGACTTTGTATAACATCAGTTAGAGGCAAGCAAATTCTGTGTATAGTATTTGGAACAGAGATCATTAATGGACATTAGTTAGTGAATTGAATTGAATGAAATACATGGAAAAAGGATTCTCACTTTGCATCCTGATTTTTTTGGGATTTGAAACCTTCAAAAAATTTCAGGAGTTGAATGCATAAATTTATCCTTAAATTTTGTTACTTTAACAGTGTAAAATCTGTTACTTTTATTTTAATTCATTAAACACAGTAGGACAGTTAAATTTGTGAAATTATTTTATTGAGCATTTTAACTTATAAAATTAAATCAATTAAACACTTAGTCTTTGTTTAGATGGATGCAAAATATGGGAGAATGTCAAATAAATATATTTTACCTTGTAGAATTTTCCTCTCAAAATAGAGTGAAAATAAGACATAATGGGTGAAAAGTTACTGTTCATATATATAATAGTAAAAATAAAATTATTTTACACCAATTCAAATAATGCGTGCAAAGTAAGGAGGTAAAATGAATATTATTATTTTACACTCTCATTTTACTTCCTCTTCCCAAACATAGCATTAATAAATAGTTAAAAAATATCTTCTCAAAAAATAAAAAATCAAAGAAAAATATTATTACAAAGATTATGTTAACATCTTGTTATTAAATCAATATTTTGTATATAAAAACTAAAAATCTTAAACTTATTGTTCTTAGTATTGAACAATCTACATGAACAGTATTAACAACTGTATTTGCGTCTCAATTTTTTTTTTACCTGCACCATTCTATAACACAATGGCTGAAAGACTTTGGCAAAAATCAGTACATTGCTACATTAAGCCAACAGTACGCGCCAAAGGCATTATTCAATTGTCATTAGCTTAGCTTCTTGTTTTTACAATTACAAGTAAAATTATGTAAATCTGTTCATGGACCAACCCTAGGCTTCAAACTAGTTGTTTTTAAGAGATGGTCACAAGCACAATTCTCCGCACAAAGTCAGTCTTTTTTTTGTTTTTTGTTTTTTTTTTTTTTTTTTTTTTGTGCACAAGCACAATTCTCCGCACAAAGTTCAGTCTTTTTTTGTTTTTTTTTTTTTTTTTTTTTTTTTTTTTTTTTTTTTCTGCCATTTGATATTATATACAATGAATATTATACACTCTGCACTGCTAATAGCAGTTACAACAGTTTCAAGCTCATCAAAGGCGTTACACTCCATTATAAAGCCAATCAACGGGCATTACAGCCCACAAGGGGAAGAATACGAATTATAATGAAATGATTACATAATCAAGAATCAAGAGTCCAATTACAGTGTCAATAACCCTTATAGCTAATATGCAATAATTATACTATCCCAACAGTGTAATATTTACATTCCTTGCAATAATATTGTCAAGGGAAATTTTTTTAAAAAAAAAAAAACCAGCAGTTAGCCACAAATGACTTCAATTGCTTGAAACAAACATCAAAACTTGTAGCTGGACACCAGTAAAAGCTATTTTCCATACCCTGGCCCAAAGCATAAGCAACCGTCTTTAGAAGTACAAATTTACGTCAATGTATACTCGGTGGAAGTCCTAAATACATCAAAACTAGCCAAATGGTTTACCTCCTCTTTTGAGTCCTTTCTAAAACATTAGTTCCAACACATATTTTTCACCTCATTGTCCACTCCAATTGGCTGCTTCTGCTTAGATGCTCACAGATAACCAATTTGCAGTAATATGTTTCAATTGTTCCAAACTGCAATGAAAAAGCATGAAATGAGTAATATGCATTTGCACTATTATATTCAATTGAAATTATAAGCAAATTCCTTTCTTAATTCATAATAACCAATAAAACTACTGATTTCACAACAGAAAAAAAAATGAGGGAAAGTGAACCCAAGACAAGGCATCAGATTTTATCACACTTTACCTTTAGTGGTACCCAGAAGTGCCCATTGATGGAAGGCTCTAGGAAAAGTTGCACAAAGAAGTCAAAAAATCCTTGCTTTTCAGTCCAAAGCCAACTTATGATCTCCACAAATTCACAGCATATCCATCCAGGAGTCAAGTCCTTCTCCCAACAACTAGATGACAAATGCTTATTACCTTCTGATTGTAAAACTAAATGTTCTCTGAAATTCTACCAAAATTATGACTCGTAAGTAATGCTTGTTAACTCATTTTCCAGCTTTTGTTTCTTATATGCAAGCATTAATATAGGTTGCTGATTTCAGTGTTTTTTCCTATTGTAGACAGTTAGCTTTGTTCTTTCTGTTTTTTTTTCTGCTAGCTTGTGTCAGTTTCCCATCCTTCTTTGAGATTGTAATCATCCAACTTGATTTTGACGACCTGCTGACTTGGAACCAGGCATGTAAAGGACTAGCCTACCATGTGCAACTTGTTCAAAATTCAAATAAACATAACCTAGTTGATACATTGGAACTTCATTTCTAAAAGCTTGCTTTCAATTTGCCACCTTGAACTTTTATGTTTATGAACTAGGAACAAAATCATATATGCAACAAGGTTTCAATCCTTTAGAAATCATTTCATTGTAAAGTTGAACTGCGCTTGTTTTATCCCCCTTCTTAAAGTGGCCAGTGATCAGTGCCTCATAAATCTCCTCATTTGGGTTTAGTGAATGACCTTTCATAATTCTTAAATACTTTTCTGCTTGCTCTACTTTTCCACAATGACAAAGGCTCCTAATCAAGGAAGTGAAAGCAAGTAATCCAGGACAAAGTGCTCGATACTCCATTTCATAGTAGAGTTTGAGAACTTCTTGAATCTGATTGTCTCTCCCATAACCATTAATAAGATGCGAGTATGTCACCTCGTTGGCTATGAACCCACTATCTAAAATATGAGTTAGCAACTCATCCGCTTGCTTCACTTGCCCAGTTTCACATAGCTTTGCCACCATTATATTAAAAGCCACAAGGCTAGGGATGAGTCCTCTCTCGATCATCTTCTTACAGTAACTCAAACTTTCTTCCACTCTTCCTGCCTTGGCACAGCCCTCAACGAGAAAGTTAAAAGTCTCAGCATATGGCTTCAAATCCATATTTTCCATATCTTCAAACAACCGGTTTGCTTCTTCAATTTTTCCTCCATCACAATAAGACTCTATAAATGAAGTATACAGAAAAGAATTTGCATTAAAACCTCGCCTAAGCATTTCCTCGTAGATCTCCATTGCTGAGTCCATATTTCCAAACCTAACTTTAGCATAAACAACAAAAGAGTACGCGATGGTATCAAGAATCATATTCTTTTGTAAAATGCCCTTCAACAAAGCCATACCAATTTCAGTTCTTCCCTCCTCTAAAATCTTAAACACCAGATAGGCATTAACAATCACTGAAGGAGAGCATCTCTTTCCATGAATCTTATCCAATATGCCCACGATTGTCTGTAACTTCCCTTCCTTGCATAAAGCATTGATCATGGTTTTTATTGTCGCTTCATTCGGATAAATTCTTTTCTGAATCATATGCTCATAAATCTTCCAGACAAGGGAGGTATTATCAGATTTTTGAACAACATGAATCAAAATGTTGAAACTTGTTAGGCTCAAAGTGAATCCATGTTCTTCCAAATAGCAGCAAACCTCAAAACCAATCTCAAATAGTCTCAATTTAGCATAAGCCTGAACCAGTAAGTTAAATACCACCGGACTAGAGATAGCAATCCTATAGCTACTAAGCAGGGAATCCACAACTAAAAATTTTGAAGAATCTCCAATAGTTTTCTTCAAAACTGACTCAAGCAATGCTTGGGCATCCTTGATCAATTGGGCTCGTACTAATATATTAACCATAAGACAATAAGAATTTACCTCATGTGCAAAGTCCTTCCTCTGAGCGGACCAGTGGAAGAAACCCAGAGCCCTTTTTGCATCAGTCGGTTCCTTCAATTCCAGCAACACATTTTCAACAAGAAAATGATTGACCTCAACATAATCAAAGTTTCTGCTCAGAGTGTCCCAGTTATAGCCTCTCCTCAAGGAATCACATATGGCATTTACAACTATATCACTTTCTGGTTTGGTACCATTATGAAGGAATCGAATTACAGCAAACCAAGGACTGCATAAAGATGAATAGCCAGAACTCTTGACTGGCCTGAAAAACAAAGATGGAATAATTCGTTGCAGTAGAGCCATGACCCTCAAAAAGCCTTACCTATTGAATCAGGATACAATTAGGATGGCAGACGAATGAGACAAAAGCAGGTTATCAAACAAAACATTTTGGTTGTAGAATTTGGTTCATTTTGTGCTGCTTCCTATCTCAACTCATTAGTTTATTCATAAATTGTAAAAATTAGGATAAACCCCAACATTACATGAGGAAACCATTGCTAAAGGCTAAAGCTACCGCATTGTGTCACTGTAACTAAAATATAACTATCACCATCATAGTGCAGATTCGAGCTTGACAAAACTGCAACAGCAAAATCAAGTGCAAGCCATAAAGAATTGATCTTTCCTTAAATATTAGGCATATCACTGCCATAGCCAAAACCAATGAAACAAACAGAATATTCATCAAATTGGAGTGAAAAGTTTCCAATTTAAAAGCTTGGTGGGTTTGAGGTTTAGGGCTCGTGGGGGCAAAAGTTAGTGTAGAGAATTTAACTCTTTTTATGAGAAAGCTCAAAAGTTGGCATTTCCATAGCCAATAACGAAAGACAAGCTACAAGTTCAGGAAAAAAAAAACGGAGAATGAATAAAATTTAATTCATTTATGTGGTTTGCAAATGGAAGATGAGTGTTCGTACCCATATAAGCAGAGAGAGAGAGAGAGAGAGCGCAAAGTGAGCAAGTACCTGTGCCTGTGACTTCTGGTCTCTGTATTGCGCCTAGCGAACATTTCATAGGAAGATGAAAAACACTACACCTATGAGCTAATGGCAACGGATTTTTAACTATTTAGTACCTCAATTTTGATCGAAATCACTTGTCACATCTCCATTGTTGAAAAAATTATTGATTCATCCTTCAAAATTAATCTCCCTGAATTATTTAATTTCTGTCCAAAAAGTGTTATCATTTCCATTAAATACCGTATAATATTTGATAAGTGATTCACATTTAATACAATATGTCAACATAATTATCTAATCCTTCACCATTTATGAAATAAAGCCTAATTTACCTCTCAACTTGTAACTTAATCATGCTCCATCTATTTGTTTTGTCAATTTTTGCTTTTAATGTTGATTTTTCATACTTTGAAGAGGTTGGAGAACCATCCTCAAAAGATAAAGAGAAAGTCAAGGAGTAAGGCTTTCCAAACTTATTCAAGCTTATTAATAAGGTTAGTGCAATAATATTCTCTTTCCCTTTCACTTGTTTAAGTTGTTTTTAAGTTTTAGGTTTTTAAATGTATTTTGGGACCTTTGTATATTTTGGTTAAATTGCTGAATTTTACTGTTATATGTTCTTAAGTGGGATTGGAAATCCTTTTCGACCCCTTTAGACTTTCCATCTGTTTCCGACTTCTTCATGAAAGTTGTAGCTCTATTTCTCAACTTTCCAAAACATATTCTCATGTCTCATTTCAATACTTGTAGCTCAACTTATGATTTCACATGGTTTTCGACCTCCGTTGTAGACTTTCCATCTGTGTTCCTCGACTTCTTCATGCAGAAAGTTGTAGCTGCTATTCTCAACTTTCCAAAACATATTCTATGTCCTCATTTCAATACTTGTGAACTCACTTATGTATTTTTAAATTACCAAAACTGGTTATCTATTATAGTGTTTGAGGGCAAATTGGCTTTTACAAAGCCATATTGTGGGTTAAAGTTTATTATCTTTATTCCTCCCACTTAACAATGAAAAACAACCGTTTTCAGTGAGTGATGCGCCGAGAATTTGTGAGAATTTACAGTAGTTAGTTAACCCCCTAAGGCAAAAGCAAAGTAGCAGTGGATTCTCGGACAGAAAAAAATAAAAAAAAAAGTGATAAATAGTGAGAGTATAAAAAATAGAGTTTTTTACTAGTAATGATGGAAGTAATGAAGTAATAGAGATTTCAGTGATGAATAGCTTAAATTTAAAATATAATCAATATTGAGTTAGGTTTGAGTCAAATAAAAATAATTGAAAAAACAATTGAAATCCAACTGATATTAAAAAATATTAAAATACATTAATATCTACTCATACTAATTACTAATTGAGTTAACTAACTAACTCTGTCAATTGGGTTTGGTTTGATTTAAATTCCGCTTTACGCCATGAAAAGCTCCGCCAGCAGGTGCATGCATTCATCGTGTGTTACTTATACAATATGCCATAAGAGCCAGAGGCAAACAAAAGGCATCACATTTAAACCAAATACAATCTCTGCTGTTTAAATTTTACCAACAAAAAATGGCAGATATGAACCATACCTATTATATCTATACCAGTACATAAGAGGTGAAAAGAAAGGCCAGGACGAAAAAAAAAAAAAAAAAGTGATAAATAGTGGATATTAAAAAAATAATTTTTTACTAGTAAGATTGGAAGTAATGAAGTAATAGAGATTTCATGGATGAAACTTAAATTTAAATATAATAATTTGAGTTAGGTTTGAGTCAATAAAAAAATTGAAAAACCAATTGAATCCAACTGATATAAAAATAACTAAAATAATTAATATTACTATTACTATTACTAATTGAGTTAATAACTAATCTCGGTTCAATTGGTTTGGTTTGATTAAATCTCGGTTTATGCATAATAAGTCCGACCAGCAGGTGCATCATTCATGTGTGTTACTTATACAATGCCAAAAGCACCGGAAACAAAAGCATCCATTTACACCATACATCTCTGCTGTTAAATTTTACCAACAAAACTGGCAGATATGACATACCTATATATCTATACAGTACATAAGAGGTGAAAAGAAAGGAGGACAAATGAGAACAAACTATAAGCAAGAAGACAACATTCAAGTCCAACTCAAACCATCTGCATCGAGCACCAATTAAAGCCGAAATAAGTTTGATAACCAGATATATGCAGATATTAACATTTCATTAGCCGAATGTTGCTCGAGTCATTGCCTTTGCACCTTCTGGCACTGAACTGTACACTATTTCCCAATTCTACACTCTCACTGATTTCTGCAGCATTCATATGGCTAGGAACATCGCTGAAGAATTTACTTTTGGATGGCAGAAATAAAGAAAAAAAAAAACTCACATCCCATATTGACACACGGCATTGTAAGCAGCGCCATGCTAATTTAATCAGTCCATTCTTGCACCAAAGGCTTTCCCCAGTCTTGAAGTAATAGTTTCAGAGGTAATGGCAGTCTTCAAGCTTCCATTATCAGACATGTAGAAATAGTTGTAATTAATTCTAGTCACCAGATCAGCCAAATGAGGGAAGTGTCCCACATTGAGTTTAAAAGACAAGATCTGTGATGAGGACAAAACAATCATCTAATATATCAATATTCTAAGTAAATTATTTACTGTATGCAAAGACACATCTGTTGGTTCATAAGCTTGAATAATTCATACTCGAAGACAAGTAAACCAAATTTCACAATCATGCAAAGAAAGGGAGCCAACACAGAGGAGATCCATGGAAAGAAGACTTGAGGATGAAAAAGACAAAGAAAAAAGATGGAAAAGAAGAATACTCTTAGGAGAAAAGCGACGCAGTCATCAAACCGTTTGTCGATTCTGTCCACTTCCATTTCGCATCTAGTCTTCATTGCAGAAGTGGCTCCACCAATATTTAATGTCTGCTGTATAGAGTAAAAGTCCAGAGCTAATCCAAGGATGCTGTTGACTCGACTTGCAACTAAGGCCCACTGAATTCAATTTAAAACTTTAAACAATACTGGTGAAAAAAAGATTAAAGAACTTGAATAGACTACAGACTGCAAATAAAGAGACACAGTAAACAACCAGCTTATCCGGAACCACAAAACATTGCCGCTGAATTGATAATAAGTAGGCCTCATGTACTTCAATGACTTCATCCAGAGAACCAGCTGTTACCATACCTTCACAGAGTTCATGCCAAGCACTGTGATATACCTGCTTACAAATCCTAGTCAAATGTCATGCATCACAAGGAACACTCTCTTACTGATGTATTCTACAAGAACATACAGGAATTTTCTGCAACAATATGTTTTTCATTTCAACATTAGACAATAGATCTACAAAGTGTTCGATAAAACCACACTGGAGATCTGAAATTAAAAGATGAGTATATACATACATATACATACTTTTTCTTATCTATGTCGAAGTCTTTTCTAGATTAAATAGTGTGGTGGGAGAGAAAATCTGGAACCAGTCTTACTGGAATTGTACTAAAAAGGCGAACCTTGAGCTTTGGATCGCTCAAATGAAGCCTCAACTATGGACTTCAGGCTTCTGTGCAGTATGAACCAAAATATAATAATAAAAGCATCAAGCAAAAGGCAATGACTGCATGATAAGCATGTACTTGTGTGATTAATAGCCATGAGCAAATACTAAGACAAGATAGTAGAGACAGCAAGTTAACTCTATTCAAAGAAAAGAAAACAAACTGGAGAAGCATGCCTCTAAAATGAGACTGTGATTGAAATAGATTTCAAAACCACCAAATGGCATGTAAAAAATTCCCAAAACTCAAGAGCAATTTCTTGTTGTGATCCCAACAAAGTAAATTCCTAATAAGAAAATTTCTCGGACAGTCATACCCCTTTAGCAATAGTGTAGAACATGGCTGCCAATAGGCGTCAAAACTACAGCCCTCCAAGTTTGAGATTTTTACCAATTGACTAGCCAATGGTCCTTGTTTAGAAATTTTGCAGATGTAAGAAAACTGTTAAAAAATCGTTCCAATTTAAACAGTTAATAATGTGGTTTTTTAACATCTCTAATTGTGCCACCATTTGTCTGCATCCATTGATCACAGAGGCCAGGCTGTCCATGAAAGCAATTTTCACCTAACATTGAGAAAATCCTTACCCTGTCCATTACATACTGGTGGAAGGCATCCACAAAATGGAGGAGTTTCTGCTCCACCAACCAGTGCCGTTTCTGGCTATTTGTCATAGTGCCTCTACCCTGGAAAGGACAAGCAACATAATCAATCAAATAACATAAATTGAATGGCCCTTGAAATAACAGATAATCAAGTTGCAATTTAGGAAAACAATGACATTGCAATGGGCAGAACTTAAAATAACAGGTTTCCTTCTTTTTCAGTGCTAGCAACATATTTCGTTCCTCTAATGACACCAGCTTATTTTCTCCAAAATGAAAAGCTAAAGTAGAAATACTATCTCATGAAAGAAAATAATGAACCAGAAAATAGAAAGAAACCTTCCACATCCATCTTCGAACTTTGTCAAGTACGAATTTCGCACGCTTGACCTTCAACAAAAACCTCATGACCTGCCACAGAAAACAGTCAATGAACAAGAAAATTCTATGAAAGCACCTTCAATGCAAGCCAAGTGATGCAAAATACCTGGTTATACTTGTTAATTGCATCTGCATTAGCAATCAGTTCAAGTGGCCAGGAGACCTGCCGCACATTGGAAGTGATTCCAGAAGTTAAAACATGGATTTTGAAACAAAATTCAAGTCTCCTTAACCATATAACACACCTTATATGTGAATTTCAGAGAATCAAGACCATCAATTCCAAAGCTGTGTGGACGAATCTTACGAGGTGTTGAAGCAAGGTTCGGTGTACTGGGTAGCTCATCGCTTTCTAAACCATGATTCTTGATGATGGACACAAACAATGAATCTGGAGCACTTAGCAGCATGCTATCAGCAGAGTTCCTAATGGATTCCTGTTGTGGAGACAAACACCATTTTCATGGTATTTAGGCACAAGAAAATTGTTCTTATACATGTCTTCTATGCACATAAGCGAACATTGACAGGTAGTTCTTATGGACTCAACATGGCAGTCAGTCAAAGCCCTCCTCAGGCAAAATTGGAAATAACCTTAGTTCAATCTTCCAGTAGGTGGAGGGAGTAGAATTGGAAAGATGAATCAATTTAGCCAAAATCATTAATCGCACCTGTAGCACCAAGTTTAACTCAAAGTCATCATCCCAGGTTTCTCCTCTATCCAGCTTACTGAAAATTACAGTTGAAAAGTGTTGTAGTAGATCACCTGAAGATAGCATGTAAATAACATACAGGTCGGTGAAAATTTCAGATGTCTATTGAAAAACACAGACCAGAGATCAGACATTCAAAAGACAACAACATACCTGAACCTAACAAGAATATGGCACGCAAAACTGCAAGCTCATCCATCAGTCTCCAATCCTTCATCAACTTTGACAATATAAGTTGGCCAATATAATCCACCTGTGATATGAAAGAATTGAAGAATCTGGACATTTAAACAGCTTAATCACCACAAAAAAGGAAAAGAAAAGGCAGCCTTCTTCTATGAAGCACTACATATTAGCCTGAGTTGGAGAACTCAATTGGTTTTCAATTCAATTGAACATTTTCAGCTATGTGAGATGGAGGTAAGTTAAAAAGTGAAGTTGCATCCAGCTGATTTATGCAAATTACCTGCTGCTTGACATAGACAGTTAAGCAGTCCTGCATAATAATTAGTGGAAGTGGCATCGTTCTTGGTTCAATACTTTGAATCCAGCTAAGAACTCTTGCTGCAAGTGTGCTATTCTTCTGGAAAGGTAAGAGCTCTGACATACAGATATCATCCTGTTTCCAAATTACAAGAGTACTGAAAAATTACCCATCAGAGAATCCTAAAGGAATAGAGATTTATCAACCCAGCAATACCTGAAAAGAAGGAAGAAGAGTAGGAAAAGGAAACAAGACTTCTAACAGTTTTTTGTCATCCTGTGCACGAAGATATTCAGATTTACCAAACTGAAAACCAAAAGTATAATTTGTTCCTTTAACTGCAGATGATAACCCACTCTGACCACCAAATACAGCCTCTCGTAAGATCTCATCATTTAAAGGAGGTAGATCGAAATTCTTAGATATGTTCAACATTTTCCAGGAATCTTTATGCTTATCAAGTAAATTTTGACACACAGTGAGCACTGGATTTTCTGGACAGAATGACCTTTGGAGGGACATTTCATTCCCCAAACCTGCAGTAATATTGCCTCTTTCTGCTTCAGGAAAGTCAATTCCATCCTTATTTGTGGATTCTACAACATTCAGTTTTTCAGGCCATCTTTCACCATTCCCATCCCTCACCTTTTCACTAATCATATCAGACACCAATTGGACAACCTTAATTTTGCACGGGTCATCCTGTAATAGGTACCTAGAGATGTGATCACCATGTCCTATGAGACCTGCTACTGATATACAGAAAATCTCAGACAAGTTTAACCCAGCTATGCTCTGTTTCTGACTGCTTAAATCCTCAGAACCTCTAGGACCATCAATGTCACTGTCTATGTTTTTGCCAGATACCATTGAGAATGACAAAGGAACATGGCGGATCAGCTGCAATGATTTTCCAGCAGAGACAATGGACTTTGCCATGTTCTTAATAAACAAAGGACACGCTTGAAGCTCCTTGCTGTTTTGCTCCTTACCCTTCGCAGAAATAGACCAAGAAACAGAATCCCTTGCACCCAATTCCTTCTTGTTATTTGCTAAGGGATTGGCAGAAGCCTCAAACTTCTTACTTTGTACTTGCCTCAATTGATAGCTCTTCTCCCAGAACTCAGACTCGTCAATTGAGATTGTTCTGTTAGCATAAAAGAACATCTACAGAGAAGAAACATGAAGAGCACAGTATCACTTTGTATAGATTGCTTAGCATTTATTATTAACAAAACTTAATAGTTGTAATTTATTCCATATGTAAAATTAAGTAAAAAAGCTACCATTTACCAACAAATGGGAAAAGGCTCCAACTTGAGCTTTTAGAATCAACAATTGATACGTGCGCCAACAACATTTTGTTTTTACCAAATAGGTGAACTGGTTGGGGTCAAATGGCAATCAACTAAATAAACACCCTCCAAAGTAAAGATTCACAGAAAGCACAAAAAACCCAAATGTCAGAACGATGAGTTGTTGCGGAAAACCTCAATTTTTGTATCAGGAAGATTTTCTCAGAAGAAATGTTTCATTTCACAAGCTATGAATTCTCAAGCATGTACGTGGATGCTAACGAGACAATCATTCTTAGACTTTGGAACATAACAAAAAGGATATGACTCAGATTACCTCCTCAAAAGGATCATCAAGTGTTCCTTTGAAAAGCCAAGAATCGAGAAACTCCATGTATGGTAATGAACTTCCAACAAGAATATGAAGCACCATTAAATATGCCTCCTCCTGAAATTATCATGACATAAGCTTGAATATGCGAACCCGAAGATTCCACGAGAAGATACAAAACAAGGTTGATAGTCACAACCTCACCACCTTGCACAAGACACACTTCATCAAGTTTCTGGTAAAGATAGTCTAGGATATGAACAGCCATTTCAGACGCTGGAATGGATGAGTTAGTCTCAAAGTACACTTGAGGAATGGCCCCATGCACTATTTGCAATAAGAATTCAGCACCTGAGCAAAGACTATATCAATGAAATTGGTCAGCAAATTCCATGAGAAAAACTAACCGCTCTACTTGCAATAACCTCAAGATCGAATGAGAAAAAGACAAGCATATTGTTTAAGAAGATGGAATGCCATATGCATACAAATAGGTATGCCCAGCACAAAAGGTTAAACAACAAGATTCAAGTTCAAGGTACCAAACTACTGCCAAGAAACTCAACTTAAAGAACTCTAAAACACACAAACCTGGATAAGGAACTTGACAATCCCAAAAGTGTAGGAGTGATTCCAACACTAGAGTTACACATCTTCATTTCTTCCTTTAGAGCAATATTTCTCAACCTCTACAAAATCATACAATTAAACTAAAAGCAAAACAAAATAGACCCAATTAAAAGATCATAATAACATCAGAAACTAACAAATTTTATACACATACCTTAAGCCATTGAGAAACAGAAGATGCAAAAGCCCTGAGAGTAGGCATATTAGTCTCCAACTTCAATCTATTGACCTTAACTTGAACAAGCTGCAAACAAGTAGCAGAATACAAGAACTGTTGTAGAATGTTGTGAAGGCTAGAAAGGGAAAGATGGGTGACATATATCCCGTTTTTGGAAACATAAAAATTCTGCTTTATATAGTCCCAACAAAAAATGGAACCGGACAGTCCCTGCATCATTCGCAGGACACCTTTTACCACCTCCCCTTCACTTGTCCTCGTTGAGGAGATAATGGGCGTGGCATAATGTATTCCATCACCAAAAATTAAAGAAGTTTGAGTTTGGGCAGACATGGATGTCCCCAAATCAATCAAATGTGAAACTACAGAAAAGAGTGACCAATGTCACGAACAAATCACAAAGATGCAACTTTTCCACTTGATTTCAACTGGGTTCTTCCTGCATTTTTATTCCCAGTTCTGCTCGATCTTTTAAATTTTTTCAAGTAAAAGAGAGCGGAAGCGCATGTTTAGCCTATTGCCCCCCCCCTTTTGTTTTTTTTTTGGTGAAAGGAATTCAGAGTCGAGAAAACAAGCTGAATCCCATTAAAGTGTAGCCCGCCCGGTTAGCTCTTTTTTTTTTTTTTTTTTTTTTTTTTTTCAAAATGTGAAACTACAGAAAAAAGAGTGACCAATGTAGAAACAAATCAACAAATGATGCAGACTTTTCACTTAGATTTCAAACTGGTTCTATCCTGCATTTTTATTCCAGTTCTGCCTCGATTATCTTGTTAAATTTTTTCAAGTGAAAGAAGAGAAGCGGAAAGCGCATGTTTAGCCTATTGCCACCCCCCCTTTTTGTTTTTTTTTGTGGAAAGAGGATTCAGAGTCCAGAAAACAAGCTGAATCCATTAAAGTGTAAGCCCGCCCCGGTTAAGCTCTTTTTTTTTTTTTTTTTTTTTTTTTTGTAAAGGGAACCAGTTTTATTTTAATGTTTTTTCTCTTTTTTTAAAGGAATATAGAATAATTACCTTTTTTTTTTTTTTTTTTTTTTTTTTTTTTGTAAGGGAATCCAGTTTTATTTTATGTTTTTTCTCTTTTTTTAAGAGAATATAAATAATTACCTAGAATGAGTTTTATGCTTTTTAGTTCCTTCCTCTGTTAATAGTAAATTAAAATAAAAGCTTAAATTTCAAAAGAAATTGAAAAAAACACCATTAAAATATTTAAATTATTATTTTTTATTAATAAAATTTAAATTTATAAATTTTATGAAATAAAGTTTTGATTTTCCAAATTCCATTGGCAAGTTATAAAATTTTAACACGTTTAAGATAATTCTTTTCCCTTTTCTATACTTCAAATTAAAGAATTTCTTGAATCAATTTACAATATATTGAAACTAAATTTCTTTCTTGAAAAACACAACTATTGTTTGCATTTATGTAACTTAAGTAATTAAAAATTAAAAATTTTATAGATTTGTTAGATTTATTTATTTGATTTAATAAAAAATATTATATTACATGAAATTTAAAGTATTTGTATTTTATAATTCAAGAATATTTATGAATTTATAGAGCTCATGTTCCATATATTCAAATGATCATAATTTAAGAGTATTATTTAATTGTTTTATAATTTTTTTATTAATATATGTGAAAATTATCTTAAATATAAAGTTTAATTAAATATGTTTTTAAAAATATTTATTTTCAATAGTATCTCAAGCAACAGTGTCAAAAAGGTTCAAACGGTGATACCGTACATAACCTACTTAAGGGTATGGTTCTGGTTCCAAATAAAACTGTGATCTCAGTAACAAAATTAACCATATTCTACAGGAGACGAAACAAACCAAAACAGAGGGCTCCCACACACAGACTCGAAGGGTTCACCGGCTTAGCCATGGACTCCACCCCTCTCCCTGAACCTGAACCTGAACCCGAAACCCAACCCATCTTCCACCAACGCCTCTCCCCCAAATCCCATTCTTCTTCTTCTTCTTCTGCCTCCAAACTTCCAATTAAACGCAAAACCCCCTTTTTACTCACTACCGCCCCATCCATCGTCGATCCCGATTCAACCTCCATCACTACCGTCGATTTCGACTCTAAACCTCCTCCTTTCAAATTCCACCGGATCTGGACCGAACCCGACGAGATCCGATTCCTTCAAGGCCTCCTCGATTCCGTTTCCGATGGCCTTTCTTTCCCTCGCGACTTGCCAATTTTCTACCGCAAATTCTCTAAAACGACGTCGCATCCTTACTCGAAATCCCAACTATCTGAAAAACTACGTAGATTGCGTAAGAAGTTTCGTGTAATCTCTTCGCGTCTCGCTCGTGGCCTTAATCCTTCTCTTTTGTCTCCTCACGACCGCTCCCTTTTTGACCTGTCGAATAAGCTATGGAGCCCTGAATTCGCATCTGTTTCACCTTTCAGTGCTAATAAAACCAATTCTAATGATTCCAATTTGATTGGAGTTAGGGTTAGTTTCTCTCCGGTTTTGCCTGTGGATTTTGGGCCTTTGGATTTGGATGATGGGTTTGATGATGGGAATATTATCAAGACGAGTGAAGCTCGAGAAGGGAAGGATTGTGGAGTGGAGAGGAGTACAGTGGCTAAAAGCGTTTTGAATGTGTTTGATGAATGTCTAAAAGAGTTTCAGATGGTTATTGCTAGAGAAAGCTTGAGATATTCCGGTGATTTTAAGGGTTTCGAAAGTAGATTCAGAGAGCAAAGAGTTGCAGAAATGGATGTTCTGGCTCAGCGATTAAGGTTGGTTCTCGAGAACTCTGTTAATAGACAATCAAAATGATAACTTTGTTAGTAGAATTGATTCATCCGTTACTGCTTTTTTGTTTTCATATTTTAAACTTGTATATCCTCTTTAATATATCAATACATATATACATATACCCAATGGGCTAAATTTTTTAAGTAATTAGTTGTAAACATAATTAAATTAATGAGATTGAACTAGTGTTCTGTCATAATTGCTCATTTGTTGATTCCTCGTATGAATTTAAGATAAATTTCATGGGTGTTGTGTATTTATGGTTGTTAATAGCTGGTGTTGATTTGATTAAAAAGGCAATATTTGCTAATTGCATTACATTAGATGCTAAACTTGTTGCTTTTGCAATGCCACCATAATTATGGTTATGGAACAATCTGAATAAATGTGAACTCATCCTCTTTCATTCATAATAGGTTTTTGTTTCTTCTAAAGTACAGTAGGTTCTTGGCAAAGAAAGGGGGTGGGTTTTTTGACTATTGCTCAAGAATGATTGAAATAGAATTGTTGTGTCCCACTAGGCTTCACCCTTCTGTGTAAATATTGGGAAAGAATTTGGTGGAATTAAGTGGAATTCCATACAATCTAATCTCTGAAAACATGAATTTCAAATGAATCCCATTAAATTTTTTTAATTAAGTGCATTTGGCCCGAAAATTATACTTATCACATATAAACATCCATGTAATTCATCCCTCTTTTTTTCATTTTCTTTTAACTTTTTAGTCTTATATTTCTTTTTTTGATAAAAAATTTTCTTCCTATCCTGAAAAAAGATCAAATTGTGCCTTAATGCTATCCCACTATTAATTTTTATAAATAAACCTGAAACATAGAGCTCATTTAGAAATTATAACATTAGTTTATATTGAATTTTTGAAAACTAAATAACTGAGAGAGAATTCAATGTTTTCATAAAATTTTTTGGAATTCATTTATACCATGAATAAGGGTTATTCTTGTGCTTTCTCACCCATGCAACAACCCCTTATCCCCCTTAAAGAATGAGAAATACTGCAGATACCTAAGTAGTGATATGCTTTCAGTGAGTATTACTAGTATGGTTTTGTTTTCTACCAAATTCTGCTACTGTTGCATTTATCCAGGCCGGAATAAGATATGATCTAGATCCCTAGTGAATGCCTGACTGTAATGTGCATGATATATTTTCGATCAGGTAAGGGAAGAAGAGGGATCAACATATGCTATAGCTTATGTCTAGTGCAGAAGTCATTAGTTAATATCATTTTAGGCTGCTGTGGGAATTAACTGTTTGGAAACGCCATTGTCATATTGTCAAGTATGTTGGGCCCAAAATTTTCACTCGAACACTTAATCCAGATCCTGTGGCTCCTCGATTTGGAAATGGACCCAAATTCAATTATTCCTCTTCAATACTCCCAAAAATAAAAAAGCTGGATTCAAGGTATAAATGTTTGGTTTAAGTTAGTATACTACTCTCTTCAGAAGATTGTCGATAGCGAACATAGGGCACTTCTTACCAGAGTGTTGCATTGAGAAGTTGCTAAATACACAGTTTTAATAGTTTTTATCTCATGACCTTTTTTTTCATAAGTACATTTTTTTATTAGAACTTGACTTGTCTCTATGTATCTTTTTTGTTTACATAAATATATACTATGAGTAGGCATTGAACTGCCCGTTCCGGTTTATGGAACTGACGGTTCAAAATTTTGAACCTGAACTGGCCCGTGAATTGTCGGTTTCGGTCTGGTTTCGGTTCCAGTTCCAGCCGATTCTGGTGAACCAACTTTCTGATTACGGTTTCCAGCGATATATTTAAAAAAAAAAAAAAACAAAAAATTGGTTCAAACGCTACATCTTTCTTTCGAAAATATTAATATGAGTTTAAAAAATATTTATAAATTTTATTTTAAATAAATTTTAGAATGCTCATACTCATATAGGAATAAAATTAATTAATTTTACAAAATAATCAAATAAGCTATCATTTTATTTTGTTTAATGTTATTAAATAAATAAATTATAAGAAAATTTTGAAAAATGCTTCAAAAGAATGTAATTTTAAACTTAGTAAACAATTTAAAAGGGTAAAAAAAATTAAAAACAATAGAAGTTTAGACTAAATATTTCTCTCTTTTTTTACCATTTTACTTTTTGGATTTTTAACTTTTAAAGTAAAGTGTATTTAAAAAAAAAAAACTTAAGTAAAGTATATCATATAGTAAAATATTATTAAGACTATAGGCTAAGTGATTACTACTTTGAAAATAAAAATAGAAAATTTCCGGTTCGAACTGGACTGGAACTGCCGGTTCACCGACTGTTCAGGGCCTATTCAGGTTCAAATTTTAATATTTACATGAACCTTAACCGGCCCTTGAATCGCTGGTTTCGGTTCAAAATTTTGAACCGACGGTTTCGATTCATTTACAGTACTGTTCGATTCCAGTTCAAAATAAACCACTGGCCATGCTTAACTATGAGCTCCATTTCATAAAAATATGAAAAAACCAAAGTTTTAGTTGAAGATTGACACCAATTTTATGATTGACATACCTGTAAAAAACCAAAAGCTAAAAATACCTGAAATTACATCTGAACTGCTATTGATCAAGTTTCAATTTTTATTTGGCCAGTTTGATTTGTTAAAATATCGTAGAACCTTAACATGATTTGGAATAAGCTTAGTTGATTTGAGTCAAAAACATTGATCAAATGGAGGTAATATTTCAAATTTGCAAATAGTCTTACCATTGCAAAATAAGTGTTTAATTAAAGCTTAATGATACAAAAGTCTTGTATGTGTATTGAGCATCTGACATGTTGGTCGTTGATTGTTCAATGAAGAGAGAAACTTATTCTTATAAATTGAAAATGGAGGGTAAAATTGAAACTTTGTCATTGATGGTGATGTAAAAAGAAGACTGAAAATTCAACAGAGACGAATATGGGCTTTCAATGAACTTAACTTTTGTAGTAGTACAACTAATAGAAAATCCATTTAGATCATATCGAGAAATTTCATAAGCTTATTTACTGTGTCGTCGTCCCAAGCTACTACTACATTGTCTCCGAGATCGCCAGAAGTGTTAGAAACCGTCGAAGTTGATGAGTTGATGATTTTTTTACAGTGATATTTTCCTCATTAGTCTAATATCTCTTTATGGTTTCCTCCATATTATGCTTTTTCTATAATAATCAGATAAAAGAGAGAACGAGAAGGGACTACTATATAGCGAGAGACCTAAGTGGTTTCAGTAGTATTTTGCCAAAACTCAACCAAATTCCGAATAATTATCATCGGAGATGGTGGAGATGGTGATGGTGACATCATCGGAGCTAGGTCTCTCTCTCTCTCTCTCTCTCTCTCTCTGTCTTGCGCGTGAAGGAAGACCAACAAAGGAAAGGAAAAGTGCAGCTCGATAACATGAAGGGGGCACCGAATTGACTGAAGATGGAGTTGGAATCGGCGTCATGCGAAGGAAGTCTCTTGTCGATTAAAAAAGTCACTAAACATGTTAAAAGCATTACGGATAATTTGGTGAAATTGTGCTAAGGTAAACTGCATTCCTACATCTTCAAATATAAGTTAGTTTTAAATATTTTAAAGAACAATAAATAATATTTTTTCCATAACTTACTCTTGATTTTAAAATAAATAATTAAATTAAATTATCTTCAATTTTTATTATAATTTAAAAGAATTAATTATTTTTTAGTATTCATATAAAAATTTTAAACTATTTGTATTAATCATCCTCTGGCACCCAAAACTTCGGTACAGATTGATATTCCATCCCTAACCACAGCTTGCACGTGATGATATGGTGACTGATTAAAATAGGTTCTTACAGTGTGGTTGCTTTCCTGGGTCATGAAATTCTGTGGGGCCAATAACAGTGTTTATGTAGTTGTATTAGTAATTTACAGCGGGAGAAACAAAGCAGATTACGGTGATAGTAATTAATCGTCAACTGATTTTCTTAGCATGGTCCCACCATGGAAACTCAAGTCTCTCTTCGTCTGCTGTGGTGGGTCCCACTTCCAACAGATAAGTGTAAAAACTACAAGGCCCTCGATCATATCCTCGTTCTTCCATATTCCAAAACTACCCTAAAGGGCTTTTAAAATTACCAAAACAAAAATTAAAATCTTTTAGCATATTATTAAATTATTCCTGAAAAATTATTACTAACAAATCTTTAAGCATGTTTTGTTAGTTTTTCTCACCAAGTTGATAGTTGGTAGCTAAAAATTGACGTTGTTATATATTAGTGTTGAATAAGATTTTTACTAATGGTTGCGATTAAAATATATAACAATTACTAATACACAGTTATATATTATGAATTTTTATATATTATTAGTCTTTTTTATAATGTGTGTTGCATATTGTCTATGCTCGTTATATATTCATTTTTATATTTGTTTAATTTTTACTTATATAATATTAAAGTATAAATTCTTATTTAAATTGAGTGGTTAAATTATATTACACTTTGTATATACAATAAATATTTTTTGATTTTATGTCAATGTACTAGTTCATACGGTTTTTATTATATGTTAATTGATTTTATTTTATTTTATTTTTTAAGGAAAAATTGATTTGATTTATAAAAATCATCGTATAGCTTCTATTATACATTTTATGATTAATTTACATGTTTTAGTAATAACTTTTATTGTAATCTCTTATAGAAAATAAATATACATTAACAATAGAATAAGAAAATTATTTAATAAATCAAATTAAATATTTATAAAGCCACCAGGCAAAACTTCGGTACAATGCATTGATATTCCCATCCCTGAACCACAGCTTGCACGTGGATGATAGTGACTATTAAATATAGGTTTCTTAACAGTGTGGTTGCTTTTCCTGGGTCAGTGAAATGTCTGTGGGGCAAATACAGTGTTATGTTAGTTGTTATTAGTAATTTACAGCGAGAAAACAAAGCAGATTACGAGGTGATTGAGTAATTACATTCGGTCAACTGGATTTCATTAGCGATGGGGTCACCAACCTTGGACAACTCAAGTCTCTCTTCGTCTTCGCTGCTGGTGGGTTCCCACTTCCAACAGATAAGTGGTAAAAGACTACAGAGAGGACCTATCGATCATATACCTAGTCGGCGTTCTTCTATATTTCCAAAACCTACCTCTAAAGGGTTATTTTAAAATTAACCGTAAAAAACAAAAAATTTAGAATATCTTGTGT